TTCTTCATTGACTCCACTCAGTCTTATGTTATTCTTCTTTGCATCATCTAGCAGCTGCTGGATTGATTTCTCATGGTCCCTTACAATTTTAAAGCAATTTTTCTTTTCGTGGTCATTAATTGCAATCTTATGTTCTATATCTGAAATTGTGTCCTCACATTGGCTCATTCTGCTGTGTAGACTTTCAGTGGAGTTTTTAATCTCCTGGAAATCTGTTTGTATCTGTTTTATGGATTCCATTTGTTTCCTATGTTGAGATTCCATCATGTTCCTCAGCTCCTTTCTAGATTTCTTAGTTGTGTCTTACACTATGGGCACAATCTCTGCTTTTATCTGAGAAATTATTTCTGATTTCATTTTTTCCAGATCCACTTGTTGCCAGTTCAGGGAGTCCAGGTGTTTGAATATCAGTCTTCCATCTGGTTTCCCTTTGGGGTTGCTGTAGGTGATCTGGAAGTCTGTTTTTGAGGCTTGTTTGCATGTCTTCTCATTTTGTGGTGTGTGTGTGGGGGTGCTGCTCACCCCCCCCCGGGGCTCACCTCCTCTGTGCTGGGAGCAGTGCTATAGCGGCCCAGAATCCTCCTCCTCTGGGCTGGGAGAGGAGCTATGGAGGCCCAGAAACCTCTTCTGTGCTGGGAGAAGTGGCATTGCAACCTGGAAGCCTCCTCCTCTGTGCTGAGAGTGGTACTATGGTGGCCTGGATGCCTCCTCCTCTGCCTTGGGAGCTGTGGCATGGCGACCCGGAAGCCTCCCTCTCTGGGCTGGGAGTGGTGGCACAGTGACGCAGAAGCCTTTCTTATTGTGATCTTTTGACAATTCCAAGAGGCCACAGTGAATTTGTTAGTTAGTGTTACTCAGATATTCAGAAAGGGGAAAAAAAAAGTTTTCCACTTAATTTTATTATAATGCCTGAGTTTAATATTTTTTGGGTAATCTTGTAGTTTCTTGTGGCCTTGTATAGCATTAGGCAGATACTGATGCAGACATGTCACTACACTAGTAGGATGTTTGGGAGAGTGGCATGTCTTAACTGAGTTGGACCAAGTTCTGTAGGGCTTGAAAGCTAGAAAGGAGGGTTGAAGTTTTGTGGGAGGTTGTAGATCTGTTACAAATAATTTGAGATGGTAATCTTTGCTATGGCAACAGGGAGGGGAGTGATAGAAGGTGGTTTTAGCTGGTTCCAGAGGATTAAGAAAGGTTGGTCAAAGCGGGTGGTAGCCAGAGGAGTAAGTTGAGTTGCCAGGTAAGTTGGTGATGATACAAACTAGCACTTTCCAGATTCCATTTTATTCTTAGACACAATGAAGGAGATAATTTTCCTAGAGCTTCAAACTCTCCAGAGTGATGATGGATCCCTGGTGGTAATTGCTCCTTTTCTTCAACTCAAGAAAGCAAATTGTATAAATGACTTACAGGGTTAGCTCAGGGACAATTTTGAATCTAATTTTGCTAATTCATGTTTACAATAAAAATGATTAAATTTGTTGTGCACTTATGTGGTAGGTCTTATGTCGTTAGGTAAAATATTTCACTTAATTCATTGAACAGCCTTTTGAAGTAGGTGATTTCATTTCCCTTATCTTATAAATGAAGGTACAGGAAGCCTAAGAGATCAGTAGCTTGCTGGAGGGTGTGTGCTCTTGGCTCTGAGAGCTGATAGGCCACCTGGGTCTAGGTGCTTACTCTCCTTTGAGGGCACAGTTTCACATCAGACAGGTGTAGAACTAACATGAGAACAGGATGGAAGTTTGCATGTGGGGCTTTCAGAGGGCAGTAGAGAGAAACTAACTTAGGAACTTGCTAGAAAGCAAAAAACAAAAAAACCCAAAAAAACCAAAAAACCCCACCAAAACAACTTCAAAAACCAGAGCTCCCAGTAGACTAGAGGAACCTCAGAGCTAGTGTAAAAATAGGGTCCAAGATGGCACACATCTGTAATCCCAGCACTGTGGGAGGCTGAGGCAAGAGGACCGTAAGTTTTAGTGAGAACTTGTCTTGGGGCGGGGGGAAGGTGCTGAGGATGTAGCTTGGTGTGAAGACCCTGAGTGCATTCCTCAGTATCATCCTCCCCCCACAAAAATCCTAGCATCTTAGGGCTTCCGAGGTGGGGAATCTGTGACCAGCAGAGCTTTTTGAGGTACCATACCTCATTCCGGACACAATGTTCTCCTTCCAGGCTGGTTTTCCCACCTGCAGGAGGCCTGGCTCCTGGCTAGGTCACTGGGTGTGCTGAAGCCTTGCTCATGGGTGGGTCAGGTCCTGGCTCCACCCCTAGTCCCACCTCTTGGCCCCACTCCGGAAGTGATTGCTGTGGGCCGGGCTTCGAGGTGCTGTTTCTGGAGCCTCTGCTGTGGGGCCGAGGCAGAATTTCTGCACTCTTTTGCCTGAGCTGGGCAGGAAAAAGACTTTGGAAAAGATACTGGGTACTTCAGGGAGAGAAGGACAATTTCTGGGGACCTTTGCATGAGCGAGGCACCAGGAAGAACTGAAGTCCTGTGAGCCTAGTGCTATGGGGCAGAGCCCTGTGCAGAGCCCAGTCCTGTGCCCACTGGCCCTCCTCTCTCTCCTGCCCATCCCCGCCAAGGCCTCAGGCGAACATCTAGAATTGGACAGTTAGAACCCCAGTGCGTGATCCACTCATCATTAACCCCTAGATGAACCTTTGTCTCTTCTTCCTGTAAAAAATCACTTTTGTATAATTATTGAACCCCGTATCTCAAAAAAATCTAGAATCTTGACAACTGTTAACTGTTTCCTACTTCTCTCTTTTTCCACTGGATGTATTAGCCTACATCATGTGTTTAAAATTTTTTACTGTCTGATTAAAAAGATTAAAAAATGTGTGAGTGTGTAATTAACTTTATTTTTTTTAGTATATGTGCTGCCAAAGTGAGCACTGAGTGTGTAATTAACTTTATAAAAAGTGTGCCCTGCCATGTGTAGCTTTTTGAGACTTAAAGTGAGAACAGCAGTAGTATATTAATAAAAACCACCGGTATAGTTATCTTTCACCATGGTCTTCTCACTGCTGTAATATTTTATTATGTGTATTTTCTAAAGTTAATCTGCTCCTTGGTTCCTGGGCCTTAGGGTTGTTTTTTGTTTTTTTTTTGCTATCATGGAAGCATTAGATGTTCTTTCACATGCCTGTTGTTGTAGCTGTGCATGTGAGTATAGTGTTCCCTGGTGTGTCAGATATCTGAGAATGGCATAACTAGGATGATAAAGTAAATAAATGTCCAATTTCATGACAGAATGTCCTCCTGACTTAAATAGTAGTTGTACCAATTTACACTTCCACTAGCAATATAGGAGGGCCCTGCACTATCTTACTTCCAACACTCAGTATTTAATTTCTGCCCCCGAAAAGCTGAAAATGGTATATTTGGAGTTTCTTGGACACCAAGAAATATTTTCAGACTTACTGATGTAGTATTTATGTTTGATCATGTCTCGTCCTTTTTATATTGGGTTACCCACTGGATGTGACCTATGTTTTCTCTCTGGAAGTTTTAGAACTTTCTTGTCTTTTGATATAAAAATTCACCAGTATGTGACTACATGTGGGTTTTTCCTTTTCTTTCCTCTTTAGTAGGTTGTGTGTTCTCTCAGTAATAGGCAATACATTATTTATTAGCTGTAATTACAAAAAAAATTGTCCTTAATTTGTGTCTGATTGTGTAGATGTTATTGATATTCTAAAGTTTTTTCTTTTTTTTTTTTTTTGGTACTGGGGATTGAACTCAGGACCTTGCACTTGTGAGGCAGGTGGTGGCACCACTGAGTAAATCCCTGGCTCTAAAGTATTTTCTGCCAAGTTTTAAAGTTTGGTTTTTGGTGTCTGTACCTTTAATCCATTCACAGTTGAATTTTGTGTACAGTGATAGATAGGGATCCAGTTTTAATTTTTTTTCCATGTAAGTAACCATTTTGTTTCCAGTACTTTTTACTGTATTGAACAGTCTCTGGCTTTTGCTGGTCTGTCGTAATCAGGGTTTGATACACGTGTCTCTGCTTTTTCTTTTAGACTGTTGATCTCTATTTGAGTCTGTGAATTTATTCCTATGCCAACCTTTATCATACAGATTTTTCTCCCCAGTATTAAACCCAGAGAGTGTTGAGCTACATTCCAGCCCTTTTTATTTTTAATTTTGAGTCAGGGTTTCACTAAGTTGCCTCGAACTTTTTATTATGTAGCCCAGGTCTGGCCTCCTGCCTCAGCCTCCCAAGTGCTGGGATTACAGGTGTGGGCCACCACTCCTAGCTTAAATTTGTGATCTTCCTATCTTAACCTCCCAAATACTGTAGCTGAAAATGCAGGTGTGCACCACCATAGCCAGCCCTTACATTAATTTTTCTTTTTTGGTACCAGGGATCGAACTCGGGTCCTTGTGCTTGTGCGGCAGGCAGCAAAACCCCTGAGCTAAACCCCCAGCCCTACATTGATTTTTATATAGACTTTTAATTCTGGATCATTACAGTAATGTCCCGGATGGATACAGTCACCTTACTTGTGGGTCCTTCTGCAGAATTTTGGTTTTACAGCATGTGCAGTAAGATATTAAAAGTAGCTGAATTATATATTCTGATTTTGTTTTTGAAGATCACCTTGGTGCAAGATGGATTGGGAAAGGTGATAGTGAGGGACAAGACAAAGGTGGGGACCAATTAAGAAACTGTGGCCAGAGTACAAAGAGATAATAGCATGTTAGTGGAGTAGAGATGGAGAAATGTGGGTGGGTTGAGAATACAACTTTCCAAAGTTCTAAGTGTGATTCAGAAGAGAAAGATAGGCCTTAGTGTCATGTGTAAGGGCCTGAACAGCTATTGTGGTTAGGGATGATATTCCTGAGATGGAGAATTCTGAGGCAGGGACCATTTTGTAAGTTTGTGCTCTTTGAAGTAAGCTGTGATGCCACTTTCAATTTGCATACCTTTGGAGATAGATACATGGTTATGTATATTCTGTAGCTTGTTCATTCTCTTTCTCCTCCAAATAGGTGACTCTTTCTTCAGAAGTGCAACCAGATCACTTCTGGAATTCAACACGACCACGAACTGTCAGCAGCAAAACACAGAACATAAAATCCAGAGCAGCATCACATTCCTGTGTGGAAAAACCCTGGTGAGGCTACACATTCCTGTTGTGTTTATTTCTTGGTTAACGTCTGCGCCTTGGGCATTCTTGCTGTAGAAGTGATCTAGGAAGAATAAGTGACCCAAATTAAAACACAAGTAAATAAAAACTCCAACCAAATTGCCATCACCATCAAGACCCAGTAAATAAATCCCAACCTTATAATCACAGCTTTGAGGGAAACTTGAGGCATAGTTGAGAGCAATTAGTGTGTTAAAATTTGAAAGCACTGGGTAGTATTTATGTTGCAGGCATAACTTCTTTCTCAAACTTCTTCCCTTAGCCTTTCATTTTGATGGGTTTATGGTAATGTGTTCAGGGTTTTTATTAAAAATTTTGCGTGTGTGTGTGTGTGTGTGTGTGTGTGTGTGTGTGTGTGCGTGCGTATTTTGAGACAGGGTCCCACTGTGTAGCCCAGGCTGAGCCACTCTGCCTGGGCTTTTTAAAAACAGTGTTTTTTCCTTCCTCATTTTTGTTAAATTGGGGAGACTTGCATCTCTTTAGAGAAGGCCTGGCTAGTGGTCAATGGAGTTTCTAAGCTCTTTGGATATATTACCTGGTGTTAAGTAGGGAAATAATTGTGTAAAACGTGATGTTTGTTCTTACTGTGAGTATATGGTTTATAGCTTTATGGTCTTAATTCTTTGTATGCATGCATGCATGTATGTATGTGTGTATGTATTTATTTAAAGACAGGGTCTCAATTTGTAATTTGGGCTGGCCTTGAACTCACTATGTAGCCCAAGCTGGCCTTGAACTCTCAGTGATCCTTCTGCCTCAGCCTCCTGAGTGTTGGGATCACAGGTGTGCACCACCACACCCAGTTAATCTTTAGTTTTTAGAAAGAATTGTAGTAAATAATTGCTAGGTAGGAGTTGAGAAGCAACTGATACACAAATCCCATGATTGTTCTAGAATTAGAGTAAGAAACCAGGTGTTTAGAAAAGTGAAACTCACTGCTTCAAATGACTTTAAAATATTATTTAGAATTTGGTGCTGTGATTGTTGCATCTTGAGACCTATGTTTCATGTGAAGTCATTTGGAAAGGGGACTAATACTGTTAATTTTGGGTCAGACTATCCATGGCACTATCCATGGTTGTTCACATTGAGATCTTAAAAAAAGAAACTACTTGCCGCAGCATGAAACGTGAAGATTTTTGTTACAGAATAAGCTAGCTGCTATTTTACTTTAATTTCCCTTAAGAATTCTGTGCTCCCTAAGAAATTATGAACTCCTTGGATTTGTGCACGGGGCCATAGAGGTTAATTCCTGCTATATCCTGTGTCCCCAAAGCTTTGGTGTTTGGCCAGGCTGGAGTCGGTGACCCTGGTCATGGTCTGGCAGGAGACACAGCCTCACGGGTGGAAGCCTGGTGGCTGTAAGACTTGCTCAGGTGCAGATGGGCTCCTTGCAGGGGCCTCCGCACAGGAAGATGAGGTCACACTTTCTGGCTTTAATTTTGTTAGCATTTGGTGCAGAGAACATTTGGAGTTTGAAAGTAGACGATTCCAAGGATTACTTCCTGTGAGATCATTGTATTTGCATAGCTGGGGCAGTAGAGCAGTTTTGGACTAGTTACTCAAATTCCAACCGGATTTCAGGGAGCATTTGTCTCCAAGATTTTGGGTTTGAGAACATCTTGCTGACCTCATTTAACTAAAGTGGTTCTGTTCCCCTGCTCTTGCTGCTCCTTTATTTTCAGTAACCTTTACTATGTCCTAACTTTAAAAGAAACTTTATGATATTTGGCATGGTAACTTTTTTTTTTTAAACAGGGAACTCCTGAATTTGTAACCGCCACAGAGTGTGTACATTATTTTGAGTGGAGAACGACTGCAGCCTGCAAGAAGGACATATTTAAAGCAAATAAAGAGGTAACAAAGGACTTTATATGATTATGACATCTACTCCAGGCACCTTTAAGATTTGAAATACTGGTTTCAGTTTTGTGGGATGAAAATCATTTTTAGTTTACAAGCTCCACTTGATGAACAGAGATTCCATGTTAAAATTTATCTTGGGCAGTTCTTATTTTTACGACAGGACATTTAAAATATCACAGGACGTGATTTTTGGTCTGGATTGGAAATAGAATGGCTTGCCCATATATGGTAACTTAGTTCTTTTTGTCTGGTGCTGTGCAACTCAGTAAGCCATGCAGTAGGGTTAGGGCTGGGTTTATAGAGTATTTACTGTACCTGTAGGAGCTATCACGGACCTTTCTCAGCACCTGGCTTCCTACCTGTGGTAAGGCTCCTCTGTTAGCTCCTCCTGACTGGTTGCATTTTAAATCCCTCCTGTCACCCTTAGGGTGGCTTCTATATGCATTGTGAATCCGGGCGAGGTGTCCCTACCCCTTAAATTTTTGGCCAGTTCACCTTAAGAGACAGGATTACTGTTGCTGTAATTTACACAGCGTCTCTGCGTTATTTGGATGGCATTGATTGGCTTGATCATTTTCCCTCTAACTCCCTCAGACACATTGTGTGCAGTATCATGTTTTGAAATATGTGTACTTTGTGGAACAGCTAAATAGAGCTAATTAAACTTTTTGAGGTGAGAATACTTGAAATTGACTTTTTTAGTGATTTGTGAGAACAAATACATTGTTGCTGATTTTAGACTCTGTGATACACAGTGGGTCTCTTGGTCAAGTCACCCTTGGTGATTAATAAAGCCCCCTTCCCCAGCCTGATCTCTGAGTTTCTCTGCTACTGCACTTTCCCTGGTCAAGGGGAAGATCAGAGCTCCCTGCCGGTCTCAGAGGCTGGTCTTGTTCAAGTAACTGGTTCTCCTCACTCCTCTCCATTAGTTTTCTCCTTGAACTCTGTTGGGATCTAGGAGCTAACAAGTGGTAATGATCAGTAATTTTTCTGGCAGCCTAATATCATATAGCTTAAGAAGAGCAAAAGGATATGTTTGTTTTTTGAAAATGAAGGTATGAATAATAAATTATCACTGATTTTTCAAATATGGCCATCTGCTAAAGAAAAGACACATTGAAGTGGAAGAGACAAAACATTGTTTCCAGAAAAGACTATGAAGAATGTCTCAATGAAAAAAAAGTTTAAAGAGGAAAGAATTAAGGTTATTTGGAAGATAGTGTCAAATTTTAACTCTAAGTTTTAAAAGTTATGCTGTTGACATGTGTACTGTTGGTGGTAGGAGAAGCATCTCAAAGCTGAAATCCACTTGTGGGATGGTTGTGGGACAGTCATCCTACACTGTTCAGTTGGCTGAATCCCTCTACTTTTCTGTCTGTGCGCTCTGCCCCCCTCCTCTCCCCTCCCCTCCCCTCCCCTCTTCTTTCTTCTTTCTCTCTTGTTAGGAGAATTTTCATTGGAATTTTCTCCTCGAAAAGCTCCTGGATTCCCAGGAGGGGACCTGAATGGGTGTCCCACCTCTCTGCTTTTCTGTTAGGTCCCAGACCTCTCTCAGAACCCCAGATGTTCTGGGCTCAGATTCTCCAACCCGATAGTGATATGGATTTCTCTTTTATCTGAATGTCCCTGTTACTTCACTTTGCTCAGTTGACAGTTGTGTCTTCCACCACCAAGAAGTAGTTGCTTTTCAAAATAGCAAATGGCAGCTTGTTTTCTGCAGGTCAGAATTTATGAACAGTACCCAAATCCTGCCTCTGGCCCTTTCTTGTACAGTCCAGAGCTAAGAATGGTTTTTTATAGGATTACAAAAAAGTAAAAATATGTGAAAAATATGTGACAGAGAACCTGTGTGACCAACAGGGCCTAAAATATTTTCCATGTGGCCCTTTGCAGAAACCATGTGCTAAACCCTATTCTAAGCAGATTTTGAGTTGAGAGTGGGGAGGTGTAGACTTTTTCTCTTTAACCAGTGACAGTTTCTTTTAGAAGCTGATGAAGATGCATGAGAAATATTAGTAGTTCTCAATTATTATCTCTTTTGGTATAGTCAGCAGCTGGGGCTTTATTAATTTAGTTTCATTTATTGAGAGTGTATTTTACAAAGCAATGAAAATTTCATTAAATTCTGAAATGATTCTTGCTTTGAGGGAGCCCATAGACTAATACTATGGAGGATAGATCATGTTCAGAAGCTCAGCTTTTTTTTCTGCTTTAGGGATAGATTAATTAGATAGAAAGAACCATGGAGCATAATGACTTCTAAAAACATACTGCTGTCACCATTAGCAGATCTTAGTAGAGCACACGCCCTTTTTTCTGTCTTTAGTATGATGTGACTACACACCTCTTAGGCTGTGGTATGACAATTTAAAAAATACACAAAAGGTTTTATGTACTTTTAAAACATTCACGATACATAAAAATCTTGATTGGTTTAGTATCAGAGTGATTTTTATTTTCACACCTCATTTTTTTTTTTTTTTGTTAAATTCTTTTATTGGTGCATTTTAGGTATACAACACAATTACATTTCTCATTGGGAATTGTACCTTTACATGATGCATCTTGGTTCTTATTTTTTCCCCATTCCTAGCCCTCCCTTCACCCCCTCTACCCTTCCCTATTTACAAAGACTGTATTTTCGTTTTTCCCATTTCTCAGCATTTTTCCTTTTCCTTCTTTGCTTTCCCCTGCCCCTCCCACTACCCCTACCCCTTTGGACCTTTTCTTCCTATTTTGCATTATTGATTATTCATTCTAATCATTGGTACATTTTAGGTATACAATATAATGACATTCATCATTGGAAATTTGCACCTTTACATAATCTCTCTTGGTTCTTATTTTTCACCCTTGGCCAGCCCTCCCTTCAACCTCTCCATCCCTCCCTATTTACAAAGATTTTTTTTTCCATTTTTTTCATTTTCTCATATTTAATTCCATTCCCTTCTTTCCTTTGCCCTACCCCTCCCACTTCCTTCCCCTTTGCCCCTTTTCTTCTATTTCACATTACCTATTATACATTTTAGTCCTTATTTACACTTTCATTTTCTCACACCAGAGAAACTACTTGGTATTTATACATGTGTGTACTATTTATTTCACTTAAGAATATCGCCTCAATGTGCATCCACTTAGCTATAAATGTCTCTAATTTCTCATTTTTTTATGGCTGAGTAGTACTCCATTTTATAAAAAACCCCCACATTTTCTTTATCCAGTCTCCAGTTGATGGGCATTTGGGCTGTTTCCAAGTTTTAGCTATCACAAACTGTGCTGCTATGAACATGGGCACACATATATTACTGTGGTATGATTCTTTTAATTCTTTGGGGAAGATCCCCAGCAGTGGAATAGCGGGGTCAAATGAGACTTCCAGTCCTAGTTCTTTGAGGTATGTCTATACTGATTTCCACAGTGGTTGCACCAGTCTGCACTCCGACCAGCAGTGGAGCAGGGTTCCTCTTTCCCCACAGCCCCACCAGCATTTGTTGTTGGTTGATTTCATGATAGCGGCCATTCTTTCTGGAGTGAAGTCACACCTCATTTTTTGTCTCATTTCCTTTGTAAGTTTTGGTGTCAAATTTTGAATGATTTGCCTTTCAAAGAAAGCTACAGGTTTTATAATGCTTATTCAGTGGATTCTGGGAGTATTAAAGGTTTTTTTTGTTTTTTTTTTTGGTACCGGGGATTGAACTCAGGACCTTGCACTAGTGAGGCAGGCAGTGGAACCACTGAGCTAAATCCCCCCCCCACCCCCCGCCTTTTTGGGTATTGTTTTCTTTTGAGACAGGATTGCTTTATGCAATTCAGGCCAACCTTGAACTCAGTATGCAGCCCAGGTGATCCTCCTGCCTCAGCCTCCCAAGTGCTGGGATGACAGGGATGCACCATATGCCCTGCTTAATTATTTCTTTGAAACATTGCATACATATCCTGTCTCCATTGCAGAACTGGCATGCCTGCTAGAATTATGTAAGACGTAAGAAAGATCAATAGATGTAAAGCAACACCATCCACACTCAGTTTGCAATGTGTTGAAAGGCTGACAAGTGACCTCCTTCTCCACACCTTCCTCCCCTAGACTTCCTCTCTTTCCTCAGGTTATCAGTGTTTCAATTGCTCTGCACAGTGAAGCAGGAAGTGAGAAATACTCTCCAGCAGCCTGGACAAATTTTTTCAGTGCCCACTCCAGTACACACTCCTGGGTCAGTGAGACATCCAAAGTTGTCAGCTGTCTGAGTGGGGATCTAGAGATTCTCTGACTTGGAATCCTCCAGGTGTCCTTGTGAAATGGAGCCAGTTTCAGAACTATGAGCTCTTCTTGGGGTCGGGCCCATCTTCCCCTCTTGCCCTGTGCCATCTTGTTCCCTTTTCCGCCATAGGCTTGTTTCCATTTGGCTGGCTTTAGAATTGCTTCTTGTCTCCCATCCTAGCCTTGTGAGTCGGTGTGTATGATGTTGCTGTGGGATGACAAGCTTTAGATTTGCTGGATTAGGGACCCTTGTGGCGGTTTCAGGCAACCCGGTTAAAGTAGCCTGCACTTACAACCTTTTCTTCTCCTTGCCTTTCTGCAAGGGTGTGGGGTGGTGGGAGGGGTGGTGTGTCTGTGTGTTTGTTCCCTCTGACTAGGGTTGGCTCCATTCTCCTCCCAATGAAGGGAATGGGCTTGAGAAACTTGTCAGGCCTGGGAGACTTTGCTTTAGGGACCTGATTGACCAGAGTCCATGTGTCCCCTGAGGCTGTGTGAGGTGTAAGTTGCTTGGTATACTCCCTTAGCTCTGAAATCTCTGCAGTCAGACCTTGGGAAAAGGTCAGTGTTAAAGCATTCCTTCTGCTTTGATAGCATCTTTCTAAGAAAAATTGAAAAGCTAAATATTATGCAGTGAACCTTTGTACCTAGACCTGCCTGTGAATTGCATCAGCCTAAAAGATAAAATTTTAGGAAATGTTTCCATGGAAAAATAATTAAACTATTATTTTATTTTTTGTGATAGGGTAGCATATGTTGATCCCAGACTTGCTATGTGGTCACAGCCTTGCCTCAAACTCATGATCCTCCTGCCTCAACTTCTAGTGCTGGGACTGCAGACATAGCACCACCACACCTAGCTCTACTACATTGAAACAGTTGCAGAGAATGTGAATTTTTAGATTATTCTTTGGGTCAGTTGAGATGATATCATTATATTATTTTGGAATAAAATTTCTGGGGCATTGCACATAAAGTCTTGGCAGTAGATGGTATTCTCTTGGTGATCAGGGCCTTTTTAAAAAACCACCAAATGGATCTGTGTTTGAATGCCTTGCTTCAGAAAGAGGTAAAACTTAAAGTATAGGGTTTTGCCAACTGTAATGGGTTTCTTGACCTTTTAAAAAGTTACAGACACAGGAAGGGTCATAAATCAGAATGGGTAAGGATGATTAAAGACGCTGATTAAGGATGATTAAAGAACTGCCCCCCAGGCTTTATTGAGCAGATATTAGCTGAGTTCCTTCTCTGCATCTTCTCTCTTGGTAAAGACTGTTACTAGGACACAGGCCTTATCTTCAAGGAACCCACTTCCATGGTAGCAGTGGAAAGATCAGCAGATGGCCTGATCTGATTATCGCCAGCCTAAAGGCTGTGCAAGGCAGTGGAGATAAGTGGAGAGCCCTATTTTAGATAAAATGTCAGAAAAGGCCTAAGTGATGACATTTCACCTGTAGACCTGGATGAAGTGAGGCAGAGAGGCATAGCTTCAAGGGGCTGAATTGTGTCAGGAAGCCAGTGTGGTCATGAGGAGTAAGAGCAGTAGTAGAGAGAAGGCTGGAGATCTCGGAGAAACATGGGTTTTGTTCTCTGTATAATTAGAAGCTGTTCTGAGTGGGGGAGATGTACCCTGAGTTCATTTTGGAAGCTTGAGCCTGTGGTCATGGAGACATGGGCTGGGGACTAGAAGGGCATTAAATAAGCTGGAACGAGGTGAACCAGTTCAGACTGCTGCAGGCAGATTACAGTGGGTCATACAAGGGAGGGGACGGTGGAGGTGCTGAGCAGTGAGCAGAACCGGGACTTTGTTTGAAGGACTTGCCAACAGTTGGACTTTGAATGTGAGACAGTGAGTAGCAAAGGGCAACCTTGTCATTTTGACCAGGCAACTGGTTGCATGATTGTCCCATTTACTGAGATAGGGAACACTGGGGTGAGAGCATGTTTTGGAGAAACCAGAGGCCAATTTTACATAGGTTAACTATGGAATGCTTCATGTGTCCATGTGATATTGGTGATAAATAGCAACGAAAGCATTCAGGTTGACTTAACCAATGTCTGTGCCGGAGCTTTACACGCACTGAGTCACTCAGTCCTAGCAGCAGCTCTGTGCTGTAATTACTCTCATTATTCTTATTTGACTCATGGGGAAACAGAGGCACAGAGGTTCAGTTTGTTCCTGGTCATACTAAGTGTCAGCAGTAGGGTTTGTACCCGAGCATTCTTTCTTGAGTCTGTGCTCAAAAACTCACCTCCTGTTGGCTCCACTGGTCAGGAATTTTAGGGAAAGGTCAAGGCTAGTGGCACCCATCTGAGGATTGTTGGCACCTCTTCAGAGCTGTTGATGAAAGCACCAAGGCCACCAGCAGGGAAGAGGTCTGATATTCAAGAGTTAGTTAGAAGAGCAATGAGAAACATTCGAGGAGCCTGAGAAGGAACCAGCAGTGGGGCAGAAGGAAGCCAGGTGTCTTTGGATTTCCAGGAAGGCAAGAGAAGAAAGGGCTTCAAAAGAAGACCATGGTTAGCAGCGTCACACGCCATGGAGACAGAGGAAGGGGAAAGCTGAGGACATCAGACCTGGCAGCAGGGAAGTCACTGTTGCCCTGGCAAGCATGGCTTCGATGGGGCAAGAGGCAGCAATCTAATGTGATGGGATTCAGGAGAGAACGGAAGAGCGTGGGAAGTAAGAAAGAGGAGACAGTGACGAGGGACTGTTTAAGGGATTTCGCTGTAAATTTCAGGGATGGGATGATAGCTGAGGGGAATGTAGGGACAGGAGAGGGACACTAGTGAGATGGTGGATATTGCAGTAAATGAGGGATATAATCCAGTAGAGAGGGAAAACCAGTGATGCACATATGCAGAGATGATTCCAGAAACACAGTCCTTGAGTAGGTAGGAAAGAGTCTGAAAGCAATGTTGAGAAACAGTGTCCACCTTTGCTTTGTTAGGCTATAGGGAATGGAGTCCTGTGTTTTGTGACATAACTAGAGGCTCATCTCATCGTGAGTCCCAAGCTTCATGACGAATTACGTCTCAGCCTTTCTCCTCCTTTCTTCCAGGTGCCATGCTATGTGTTTGATGCAGAGTTAAAGAAGCATGATTTAAATCCACTGATCAAAATAAGTGGTGGCTACTTGGTGGATGACTCCGACCCGGATACTTCTCTATTCATCAATGTCTGTAGAGACATAGGTAAGAACCCTTGTGAGGATGGGAGGATGATGGGGAAGGATTGATTCAAAGCTTTCAGCCACCGCCTTTGCCCTTCCACCTTTTGTTCCAATGTGGACATCTCTGACACCAATTAGGTCCTCTAAGAAAACTTTTGTCTTGAAATATGTTCTCTTTGCTTAACTCCAGGGCCTCTCCTCCATAAATTCTGACTCTGCTTCCTCTCTCCCCTCAAATTCTACCTAAACTATTGGTCCATTTTGTGTGTTTTCCCTGCCAAGACCTTTGGGTCTCAGGGGTTCCAAGGTGAGGAATGGTTGGTCCAGCTTGCTGTGTGTGACCAAGGCCCTTGACTTTGAGTTGCAGGGAGGGGTGACAGAGGAGGCTTTGGATATTTGCTTGTGACCTGTTTTAGGCTGGGTATATGTCTTCCCTGGCTTTCTTTGTAGATGCCGAAATGGGGTGAGAAGCATGAGCATCTTTAGTAAGATAACCAAAGGCTGTAAATAAAGGGCCTTTATCTAAAAAGGGCCATGAAGCTTTAAGCTAGGCCCTGCTTGCTAGTTTCTCAAGCTCCCTAGCTTCACAATTCCCTCAGGGGCTGAGAGTTGTGAGTGTGGCAACCCAACCAGGGCTGGTTTTCTGTGATGCTAGCAGTGAGAGGCCATTTCCGGTGTTTTCCTTATGTTTCTGTTTCTCACACAGTGCATAATAACATTTTGCCTTTTGGACAAATTGGAAAACTAATTTAAAAATAAACCCAGTACATGATTCTTTAAATTGGACATAAACATTACTTATCATCTTATTTGTGTTATTATTTCTAAAGTTAAAAATGATAAATATACCTCGTGCTTGGCTCACCAGAAATGACCAGTGATGATTTTTTTTTTTTTTTGGTTTTGGAGTTTTGAAATAGGGATAGCGTCTGTCTTTAGACTTCAGTCTGGCCTTGAACTCATGGAGATCTTCCCGCCTCAGCCTCCCAGGTCCTGGGATTATGGGCATGTGCCACCATGCCTGGCATCAGTGATAATTTTAGACCCTCTTGTGTCAGGTTATTATGTCATCCTTACTGTCTCAAAGACACTCATTATTGTTCTTTTGGGGGAAAAGCTGATAGAAAAGGCTTTGTCCTAAACAGGTCAGTAATTCTGGTTTGGTTATAAAGTTAAAAGATCTGTAGATTATTGACTTCTGAGACAATATGCTATTTTGATTTGGCAAACATTTAGATTTCTGGTTATTTATCCTTTTGAGAATCATCTGAATTCACTGGATATTTTCTAATGAAAGTTAATTTTCTTTCCAGTTAACTGGCAACTTGGATAGTTTCAGTGACTTGTCTTAGATAGCTGTGTCACATTGTGTTTCATCTGTCTGTCCCCCTTCTGGCTCAGACATTCTCTATATCCAGAAAATAGCCCCGAGCCTCAGACTGACTTTGAATGTGACCCGTAAACCCTCATGAATAGTTTTAGATTGTGACCCTGTGTTTATTTTCCTGTATATTGGGGCACTTGCTTTTGGGTACCCAAGTGGTCTAGCTGAGGGCAGTAGCTTGGGGACAGCACGCATTGTGTGTGGAATAAAATGGCCATTAAGTGAGACTGTTTGGAGGGTTTTGGAGCTTGGGGATTGGCTTTCCTGTTTGTTTGCTGGTGACTCCTTGTGGCAGGAGGCAGGTGACCCTTCTGCTTCCTTGACCTATAAGGCAGGTAAAGTTCGGGAGAGGTGCTGTTAGCCCATCACTCATGGTAGAGTGTTTGGACCCTTCCTAAGTGCTGCATGCTACTTTAAGGGCTGGATTACAGCCTCAAACATACCAAAGGCCAAGGAGGAGAAGATTTGTATTGTGTTGTAAGGCTGATAGCATGTACGATGCTCGCCACGATGAGAGCTCTACAGGGTCTGGAGACTCACAGCTGTGGTCATCACAGCTACTCCGCTGTGGTCCCTTATGCCTGACATGTCTTGAGTGCATTAGTTCTGATCATCAGTCCTCCCCAGTCTTCGAGCCACAGCCTGGCAGCTGGACCAATCTGTCATCAAGTAGGGGAGAGGGTTGGTCTAGGATGTGAGTGTAGAACTCCCTGGTTCTTTCCACTAATCAGATCTCTCCTCTGGGGGAGTGTTTGCATTTTCTCACCTCTTTCTGGCTTGAAAAAAAATGCTAAGGTTAGCAGACTTCTAGGAGAGACTGGGAACATTGTGTAAGTACAAATGGTGCTCTGGCCCCCCCGTTCATGGGCCCTGTCTGCATTCATGGTGCAGCATACTTGCTCCTGAGCTTCATGTGGCCAGATGGACAGCCGGCCCGGTATCTCAGACCTGTAGCTGATGAAGACTTTGGTAGGGCCTCTGGACCTCAGAGTGCGTTAAGTACCAGTTGTGACCCTTTATCTGCTTTAACAGAGTGTGTGATGTGTTACAGACTCCCTGCGGGACTTAAGTCCGCAGCTGCATGCCTGTCCAGTGGGGACTGCTGCCTGCTTGCTGCAAGGGAACCAGGCGTATGATGTTGGCCAACCCAAGGAGGGACTGAAGCTAGCGAGCAAGGACAGGTCAGTGTGCTGCTTCTGCAGTGGTTTGCATTTTATTCCTCACAAGCAGCTGATCTTTTAGGGAGTGGCTGGCTTGTTCTTTGCCTGCAGACTTGGGATGGGCCTGCACAATTCCTCTTTCACAGGTGTAAGATCTGTGGGCACTGGTGAATCATGTCAGCTGGTTGGTTGTTGGTCACTCACTTTGTTTTCTCCCTCCCTCCCCCCCTTGGATTGTTTAGGATTGAACCCAGGGCCTTCTCACTGACCTACATCTCCAGCCCTTTTTTATTTTTTACTTAGAGATGTTCTTGCTAAGTCACTAAGTTGCCCCGGTTGGGGTTGAACTTGTGATCCTCTTGCCTCAGCCTCCTAGAGTGTTGAGATTATAGGCGTGTGGCACTATACTCAGCTTCACATGTCTTTTTTTGGTACCAGGGATTGAACTCTGGACCTTGCGCTTGCGAGGCAGGCAGCAGAACCACTGAGCTAAATCCCAGGCCCTTCACGTCTTTCAGAGCAGTAAAAATACCTATCATGGTGTATTCTATAGCACATCTCTATGTTGCTTCATGAAATTATACCTACCTTAAGGTGCTTCCTTGTATTTTTCTTTCCCTATCATCTATGAAGTTAACTTTGTATCCATAATTATCTGTTCTTTTGAGGCAAGAGATGTGAGGCAGTTTGCCGGTGACCTCCCAGGGTTTCCTCCTAGCTAGGGTGTGAAGGGCACCCTAGTTTCCAGCAGAGGATGATAAAAAGTTGGATTGTTTACACACGCCCTTGTATGGCCCTTGTGTCTTTGATTGTGTCACCTTATGGAAGATGGTGCGGCCTTGGCAAGGACTGTGTTTTTCTCCAACATGTTGTATATGACTACATCCTGAATGTAGATCAGGGATTTTGATTTTCTCCCTATACCAAAGGCTTTTGGTACACTTCTGGTGTTGTCTGGCTGTATTCTGGAACCAGTGGTGTGCCTACAACCAGGGTAATTGTAGGAATGGTGTGCAGTAATAGATAGCAGTTTTGTCCATAGAAAATACTAGCACGTGACCTAAATTGGCTAATGTTGAGAATTTTCTCTACGGATTTGCTCAGCCTGTCATAAGAAAACAGATCAGTTGGCGGAAACAACAGAATTTTTTCCTTCATAGTCTAAAGGCCAGAAGTCCAAGGTGAAGGTGTCAGCAGGGTTGGTTTCTCCGGCATCCTTTCTCCTTGTCTTGTTGGAGTGCCACCTTCTCCCTGTGTCCTCACATGCTCCTTCCTCTCTGTGTCTGCATGCTTGACGACTCTTTGGACAAGGATACCAGGAGTGTTGGATTAGGGGCCACACATCTGACCTCGATTTTACTTACTAACCTCTTTAAAGTCCTTGTGTCCAAGTACAGCCACAGCCGAGATTGTAAGGGTTAGGGTATCACGATATGACCAGGAGGGAATGTGTCCAGAGTGACAAATCATTGATTCTGCATCCTGGGTGGGCTGGTGAGGATTTGGCGAAATGAGGGCACTGTGCCAAAGCTTGAGGTTGTCTGGGAAAAGAGGCAGGTCATCTATTTGAAGCACTTGTGTTGCCATGCATGAGACCCGTGGGCACATTCCCTTGTAAGGACAGGAGCCCTCTGACCAGAACTGGGCACAGGAGAAGCTCCAGCTGTGACTGCTGGGCAGGTGCACTGGCCTCTCTTCAGGTTAAAAAAAAGTATCTAGAGTTGTTCATAGAGAAAAAGACCTGGACATGGTAGTGCGTGCCTGTAATCCCAGCACTCTGGGAGGCTGAGGCAGGAGGATTGCAACTTCAGCCCCACTCTGGGCAACTTAGGAACAGGAGTAGAGGTGTAAATCAGTGTGAAAGCCTTGGGTTCAATCCTCAGTACTGGAAAAAAAAAAAAAGAAAAGGAAAAGATTGAGCAGCCTTGTGGGCAAAAATGCACTTGAGCAGCTTGGCTGTGCTCAGTTTTGGTTAGGTCACCTACAAAAAATGTTTTTATTATTCAAACAGCTCTTCTAGTATTTTCAGTTTATGTATTAGTTGTTTTATTTATTTTACTTTTTTTTTTGTACCAGGGATATTTATTTTACTTTTAATAATGGTACTCTTTCCAGTTTACTTTTGAGTATTTTTTTAAAAAATGGAAATGAAATCATTACTTTACCTTCTAGCTTCTTTTATAGTTTATGTTTCTTCTGTTAGCTTCTCTCTGTGTGAACAGGCTGACTGCTCAGGGCATTGCATTAATTTGAATGTAATTGACACTTCTGACATACTTTTTCTCCATGTGGATCCTGCAGACTTGTCCTGACTTATGTGAAGGAAGGGGCAGGAAAGCCAGACTTCTGCGATGGTCATAGCCCTGCAGTGACAATTACATTTGTGTGCCCTTCTGAGCGGAGAGAGGTGAGTGGCTTGTCTCAAGGAGAATTTAAACTGCGAATTTCAGCCCCAGTTGCCTAAGTGACCATGCTTCTGGGTTTGGAGCAGGTAGGCTGGTGCAGGGAAGGGCGAACCATCCAGTGAGGTCTTGGGCTGGAGAAGGGGAAGGGATGCCAGGATGGACACAGCCTCTTGGAGAGCCCTGGCTGCCCCTTGTGGCTCTGTGCAGAGGGAGCTCTGTCACCCCAGCTGGGAGAGGCCACCATGCGGATCGTGGGATATTGGGATATTTTGTTCCAGTCTGCCTGTGATGATTTTTTTTTTTCTTTTGGGGACTGGGGATTGAACTTAGGACCTTGCACTTATGAGACAGGTGATGCCTGTGATGATTTTGAGTGGATCACAAACAGATATAGTACCTCAGTTCACGAACTTAATTCTTTCCACAGTTCTGGTCCCAACTTGAATTAGACGAGAACTAAATCAAATTTCCCCATAAGGTCAATGTGGAACCTAAGCTTTGAATTTGTGGTTTGCAAACAGAATCGTGAAAAGAATTAAGTTCCTGAACTGAGGTTTCACTGTATTTTTTGTTGTTGCTGTTGGGTTGATTTTAGCAAATAGTTGAAAAACTCTAGGTATAACCTCAAGCCTGGGATTTCTTGTAGGGGGAGTTTTTTATCTTCCCTAGTTTGTACCCCACGGCCCTGCCCTGTCTGTAGTTCCCCTTCACAGGCAGATTTATCACTCTGTCACGTAGCTGCTTTTTATTTTTTGTTTTTGCAGTGCTGGAGATACAACCCAGGGTCTCTACATGCTAGTGGGTGCTATACCACACGCCTAGTCCCCTCGCGGTGTTTTTCCAGTCTTCTCTTTTTATTTTTTTGGTATTTTGAGACAGGGTCTCACTGTGTAGTTTAGGCTGGCCTTGAACTCACTGTGTAGACCAGGCTGGCCTTGAATTTGAGGTGATCCTCCTGCCTCAGCCTCTAGAGTGCTGGGTTTGCAGGCCTGCATCACCACAGCCCAGCTTGTTTTGTGCATCTGTAGCACACTTGTAAACTCCTTGAGGGCTGAGTCTTATATGTCTTGAGACCACCTCACCCAGTGACGTGTGTATAAGTTGGTGTGTGGTGGAAGTGTCTGGACAGGGAGCTGGTGCTGATGGGATGGAGTCATCCCCTGGGAGGAAGGGGCAGGCCTTTTCTTTATTTCTGCCATTCTAATAAGGAGGGCCTGAATTCTTTTGCCAGAAAACCACACTCCCCTGCCCCCAAAGAAATGTGGAATTTCCCCTGGTTTCAGACTGGCCACTGGCGTGCTGGTGTGTGGATCTGGAGACAAATCAAGTCCAAGCTCAGCTTTTTGGAGTTTAATGTCCCCAGCCTCCCTTGTCCCTGTGATATCAGCCTAATGAGACCATCTTGTCTTATGTTCTGAACTGAATGTGGAGGAATATTTAATTATACCTTATATTGCACCTATAATAGATGTGATGTGAATATTCTCAAAAAGCTTGATAATAAAATGTATTTCTGTATCACCATAAAAATATAGATGTGCTGTAGATTGAAGCCTTTTATATTAACATCTTGGCACTGGTTTATTTTTTTAAAGAATTTTCCCTTTTGTTTATTGTGTATTTGCTAATAATCATTTAACACTAAGTTACAAGAATTGGGAGTTTCTCTCCTTTTCCTCCAAGGGCTTTGAAGCATTTCTGGGTGTTCAGAGAGGAGGCTGATACGTTGTTGTACTGCTTGGGGTTCCTTTCCAGCAGAACTGTTCCCTGGGCAGAACTAGTGTTACTCGTCCTTGGACACTGCAGTGCTTAGGGGGTTTATTTAAGCATCTGTGTTGGCTTGTTGAATGCTTTTGGCAGCTAGTATTTAGTAAACATTATCTTATCATATAGATCTTTTTTAAAAAGGTTCATTGAATATACATCCTATAAAATCTACCCATTTTAAGTAGTATTCAATGATTCTTAGTTTTTTTTTTTACCGAATTGTGCAACTTTCACCACATTTCCATCATCCCAAAAGGAAACCTTGTGCCCATCAGCCGTCACAGTCCATTGCCACCCCTGTCCGGGCAGCCACACAACCTTGAGTCTACTTTCTGTCTCTGTGAATTTGCCTTTTGTGGACCCTTTACTTACATGTAGCCTATAATATTGGCTTTTGTTGGTAGGTTCTCTCACTTAGCACATGGCTGTGTGTCACTTTGTGGCAGACACACTGACCTCAGGGTTGAGGAACAGCATTGGTTTTGAGTCTGATGGGGTGGGAGGGGCGGGGTGGAGTCTGTAGCTCTGCACCTTACTCATCCTGTGACCTGTTGTAAACCTGGCGCTTTGTATTGTGACTGACAGTTCCATAAGCAGCTAGGCAATTCTTCCTAGTGAAGCATTTCTTCCTAAGAGGGTTAAAAAGAAACAGTGGCTTAGTAATGAATCTGGGCTTCATTAGGGCCCAGTTGTGAAGGCAGCATAGTGGATGCCTTAGTCACTTTTTTTGTTACTGGTACAAAATATCCATTACCCATCAATTAGAGGAAGAGTGGCTTATTTTGGCTCACATTTACAGTCCCTGGTTGGCTGGCTTCAGGGCAGGAATGGCATGGCAGAGGGACATAGCAGAGGAAAGCTCTTAGGTTATGGTGGCCCGGAAGCAGAGAGAGAAGGGAAGAGCCAGCAGGGAGATTATACTCTTCCAGGCCTGATCCCTGGTGATTTGCTTCTAACCACGCCCATCACCTAACAGCAAGTGAGCTGTAGTTTCCCCATAGTCCAGTCGCCTTCCAAAAGCCCTGGTTGTGACTGCATGAGGGTCTTGGGGGACATGTAGATGTAAACCATAACAATGGCAGAATCTAGACCTGTGTTTGGGTGGTATCTCCCCGACCCCAGTAGATTTTGTTTTTGTGGTACCAAGGGTCAAACTCAGGATCTTACGCTTACAAGACAGGTGCAGTGCCTCTGAGCTAAATCCCTAGACCCCCAGTAGATTTGAATACAGATGAAGTGGCGCCAGCCCCTTTGTCAGCCTTAGAAAGGGGTTGCAGACCATCTTCTTGGATGAGTACACCTGTTTACTTGGTGTTGGGGTTCAGACGAGCCATGTACCCCTCATCACTCCTTACTGCTTGCCAAGGTCGCCGTGGTTCTCAGGTGATGCTGAGTTCAGTATGGGTTTGTGGGCTTGAGTGTTACTGTGAAAGGAGTGGAGTTATAAGTCAGTGGCATTGTTATAAGTCAAATACAGAAAAAAAGAGTTGAAGTAAAAAGTTACAAAAGTAAATGGAGGTATTATACATCATATAATCAAAATGCATAATGGGGAATTATGATTCAAACACCAGGAACAGAAAAAAAAAATGTAAAAACCCAACAGCCCACCTGAGCTTTTCAAAAGCATGGAAAAATCTACACTTTTAAGCTGCATTGAAAACTTCCATTTTATTCATTTCCCATTGTTCCTGATAGGGCACCATCCCCAAGCTCACTGCCAAGTCCAATTGCCGATATGAAGTTGAATGGATCACTGAGTATGCCTGCCACAGGGACTATCTGGAGAGCAGCACCTGTGCCCTGAGCAGTGGGCAGCATGACATTGCCATTGACCTCCGCCCTCTCACCCAGCCCGGAGGTGAGCAGGTGCCTGTGGTTGGCAAGACTTCTGGTGCCACTCAGGAAGAAAGGGAGGGACAGGGAGTGAGGTGGCCATGGAGGGGTTGAGAGCACTGTCTCGGGCCCTGCTCATCTGGGTTTGGAATTGGGATTTGGGTTGGACTGCTGGATTGCTTCACTTTGGGATAGCTGTCATTGCAAACAAGCCTTTCATGTTTATTTCCTTCTATAGGGTCCTATGCTTCTGATGGAAAAGAATATACATTTTATTTAAATGTCTGTGGAGAAGCCAAGACCCGCTCCTGTAATAAGAAAGAGGCTGCAGTTTGTCAAGTAAAGAAGATTGATTCCACTCAAGTCAAGATAGCAGGAAGGCCGAAGAACCAGACCCTCCGGTGTGTCAGCAGCCCCTGTGCACACATGCATGCACGTGGCTGTTGAGTGCATTGTGTGTGTGCTTGTGAGACATAATTCAGTCCCAGCCCCCTTATTCCTCCCACTTTCCCCAAGTGCAGGAAAGTCAGTGAAGCCAGCACTCCTTCCTCTTACTTAGGCCTGTTGCCATTTGTCACTAAACAGCTGGATGCTTTTCCTGACTTTACAATAAGAGTGCATCTGTTAGAACTGTTTGTCTTGTAAATCTATTTTTGTGTAAAGAACTATAGTGTAGGAAATTTACTTCACTAGTTTATAGTTAGCATCTGTTAGTTAGCATTTTAAAATTTATGTTTTTGAGCCGGGCGTGGTGGCTCAGGGCTGTAATCCCAGTACTCGGGAGGCTGAGGCAGGAGGATCACTGTGAGTTTGAGGCCAGGCTGAGCTACATAGTGAGTTCAAGGCGACCCTGAACTACTGTCTCAACGCCCCCTCGAATTTATGTTTTTGACTTTTGGTATTTCTCTAGTAGTTTGAGGGTGCTGTTAGCCCTATATAAAAGTTATAAGCAGTTGAACAAATTGACTTGACACATTCTTTAGACCTACTTAGTGTATTCCTGTAGTAATTACTGTCACTAAAGCAGTGTAAAGACATAGTTCTCTGAAACAAGTCTTATCCAGAGTCCTTCAGGTGAGATTGCACTTAGGGTGGTGGCTAAAAAACATCTGTCTGATCCTTGGGTGTTATTTATTTTGTATGAAATCCAAAAGTGAGAGCAAGATAAGTCTTTGTGCTCACAGCAAAACTTGTCAACATTCTCCTGCAGCCCATTGTTATTTGAAGCCTGTGCCTGTGTTATTTGGAGCTCATTTCCTAGGATGTTTTCCCCAGCTGGCTGGAGAGCTTGCTGTTTTATGTCAGTCAAGATTTGTTGATGGCTTAATGTAGCAATTTTTTAAAGTTCAAGTTTATTTGTTGGTTCTACAAAACACATTTGCCTATTCGGAAAACTCTAGGTACTCTGATGGAGACCTCACCCTGATATATTTTGGAGGCGAGGAGTGCAGCTCAGGCTTCCAGCGGATGAGTGTCATCAACTTTGAGTGTAATCAAACTGCAGGTGAGTGCACAGGGGCTCAGCCTCTACATTTTGCATCAGAGAGAGAGAGAGAGAGAGAGAGAGAGAGAGAGAGAGAGAGAGAGAGAGTGTGTCTTCTGAAAGTAGAACACTGAATGAAACACTAAAACATCTTCCTTTTAACCTGGCCACGTCTGGTCCCCAGTCTGCGTTTTTCTGTTTGAGTGATGTCCTCCCTGCCCTCAACAACACACACATCCTGTTTCCATTTTCCTCTGCTCTCTGTGTTTGTCTTGGGGACAGGCCCAGGCCCGTGCTTGCTGAGAGAGAGTTTCTGCCTCAAGTTTGAGGGTACACACACTACAGCCAGGACAGCCCCAGTGAGGTAGTGTCCCTTAACCAGCCTCAAGTAGGTGCCTCTTTTTTCCTATCCTGAGTTGCAAGATAACCCTTTTTTCAGAACAGTGACCCAGTGATAGAGTTTGGATTTGGGGATTGCAGAATGCCACTGAGCAAGTTTTAGCAGAAGGTCTGGGTTCTCTGGGTGGTTGCAAGCAGCAGCCTTGAGTTACTGTGCTACCCTCTCTGTCTTGAAGATTTCAGTCACATTTGGCACCTGTGGAGAGGGATAGGATGGCATCATCACCAACACCTGTCCTGTCTATGGGCCAAATGGCGTACTCCCTGTTGCCCCAGTGCTGTCCCACCTTTGCACTGAGCTCTCGATCTGGGGCCAGCCTGGTTCCAGCCTGATCTGTGTGCTACTGGTCTGAGCACACATGGCTGCCCCGCCCTGAGGATGGGTCTCTCTGCCCTTCCTTCCGTTTGCTTTGTGTGTTTCTATGGCAGTGCGCTTGTGGGGCTTGTTCCTATGTGATTCACTCTAGGGTCTTGAAGAAGCAGCTGCGCAGGAAGCTCACATATGCCATGGAGATGGGCATGATTGATTGTAGTGCTGAGCACTTATAAACTTTCTAGCAGATAGGAAAAGAATGAGCGGGTGATGCAGTGGAGATGGCTCTTGGTCACATATACAGGCTCCCAGGGCCCTTGGGGACAGTCATTCGGAGCATCTGCTGTGCTCTTCATCCTTCTTTCTCCTATGTGTGGCTCTGCTGCTCCTGGATTCTAGTTCTTATCACTCATGATACAGGCATTTTTAGTGCCTATTTGAGGGTGCCTGGTAACAGATGGCCTCTGGGGATTCACAGATGAGAAACCAAGAGAGGTAAGGGCTCCATTAAAGTGCAGGATGTTGCCTTCAGGACCAAACTCCTGCCAAGTGTCATCACCCTGCCCTTCAACAGGAAGGAGGCCCTGAGGCCAGGATGGGCTGTTTCTGGGACAGCCATGAGTCAGGCCCCTCAGAGAAGCAGGCACTGCTTCAGCTGCAGGATGAGGGGCAGCAAGCCAGGGGTCTGGGGCCTGGGACCTGGAACTCAGGGTCTAAACAAGCAGAAACTTGCATGCTAATGTGGGTCTGGAGAGGTGAGGGAGGCCTGCATGCCGTGACCTGCAGGGAGCTGGCTCAATCTAGATGCAGCATGAAGTCCTGGACATCTCAGTAAGGCCACAATGTGCCTCTGATGTGTATGAGAGGAGTCACAGTCGCTTTTGTGTGCGCCCTACCCCTCCTCAGGTTCACCATCTTTATTCCTTGACCTTGCCAGTTCTGCACCCACTGTAAGGATTCCATCTCTGAATTTTGATTCCAACTCCCTGTGCTCTGTGTTCCCAGTGTCTTGGCAGTGTAGCCTTCTTCTTCATCCCTGTCCTGGCTGTCAGGCACCCCAGGGTGGGTGTTAGACCTCATGGATTCTCTTTCTCCTGCCGCCCTGTACTGCTGCACTGCCAGTCAGCCTCTTTGGTCTGAGTCTCCTGTGTTCCTGCTCTGTACAGGTTTTTATTGATGACTGAGCTGAGGTCTTTGAACATGGGTCCCTCTCTCTTGGGGATACTGGGAAGTCAGATTTATGGCCCCAGAAGATGCAGACAGACTAGGGGGTGATGAGGAGGAAAGGACTGAGAGGAAAGGCCGTGTGCAGTGAGGAGTTGATCCTGGAAAGCTAAGGTTGAATGTGTTGGGCTGGAAACAACCCCTTCCCTTTTTTTCTTTTGTATTATGAAAGTTTTCAAATATAAGGTAGGACTGTATTACAGTGAAGGCATGTGTACCAGCCACTCTGGCAGATGTTAATGTTCTGCCTGATTTGTCTCATTAAAAAAAAAACTCTCCCCACATTTTGTGTTAGTGCACATTACTTATACAGATTAATGGGTTTCCTTCTGGCAGATTTGTACATGCACATACCTTAATCATTCCCTGCTTCACTCCCCCAGATTTTGCTTCTTATGAACCCAGTGAAATGGATGGGTTGCATCACCCAGCCCCAGCGCCCAGTGAGAACATTTCTTTCTGTGACCTCAGTACCATTAGCGGACCTGATAAAATGAACAAATCTCTGGTACAAAAACTTTTTAAAAAAGAAATCAATGTTTTATAAGATTATTACAAGGTGCATGGATGGAGAGGTGTTAGGTGCTTGGATGGTGAGTTTTAAGCCTCCTCTTGCGCAGGAGTTGGATTATAAAGTATTTCCAATTCCTTTCCAGTCTGTGATTCAGTACTCCACACTGCCAAACATGCTATTATTATAAAATTACTTCATTCAAATTTGAATTGATTTTTCAGGTAAAATTCCTTGGTGCAGTCTGTGTTTACTGGGGACATGTAATATATTTTTGGGTATAAGTGGGTGATAAATTAATTGGCTATGTCATACAGGCAAGTATGTTTTACAGTTCAAGTTGGATTTCTAGGAATTACTTATGAATCTAAGGTTTGTGCATTTTCAAGACTCAAAGGTGCATAGATTCTTTTGGCCATGATATTGTTTTGCCATTTGTTTCAATAACTTATATCTAGCTTGCTGTAAATATGATGCCATATTGTTGTTGATTCTGTCAAATGAGGCCATCAGGTAGTTTTTTGAGAAGAGTACAATATGCTAGAACAGGCAAAAAAAAAAAATCAAACAAACTATGCACAAATTCAAGTGGTTCAGTACATTAAAGATATATTTCCTTTAATTCAATGCAGGTTGTTGGGGACAGGGCTGGAGGTGTGGCCTCTGCTCCATGTGGCCCAAGGACCTGTTCTCTTTCCATCTTGTATTGCTGTCTTCTAAAGTCTGTGAAGAATAGGAACAGCATTTTTTTTTAAGTGAGCCAGAGTGAAGTCATTTGGTCTACCCTACAGGCAGGAAACCCAGGAAATGGAGTTTACTTAGAGGGAAAATGAGGGAGTTTGGCATTGTTGCCATAGGCTAATGAAGGAATTAATGTTGCTGCTGCTGCTTAGGTGGAGAATGCCTTCCTGGGTTTTGTTGGAAAAGCTCCCTTCCCCTTTAACTGGACATGGAAGCCAGACACTATAAGGCCACATAAGGTGGTATGCAAGGGAATGAACCAGAGCTTGGGAAGTCAGGCTAACGTCCCAGGAGCCTATGTATGAGGGAGAGGTTGTGAAAAACTCCCGTTGAGAGGTAGACAGGAATTACTGGCTCCAGGATGAGTGATCTCTGAAGGCATAGCCATTGTGTTTGAAAATGAATGGTTATAGCGGGGAGTCCTAGCTTAATGGTTTGCTAAAATTCCTTGAGAAATTAAAGAGTATAGGTGAAATGAATCCCAGTGGTTGTTTCAGATGAACTCCCTGCAGATCATTAGTTTCAGGTATAAAAACCAGCTAAAAAATAGCATGAAGCCAGCTGGGTGGCACATGCCTGTAATCTCAGTTACTTGGGAGGGTGAGAGGCAGGAAAATGGAAAGTCCAAGGCCAGCCTGGGCAACTTAGCAAGATCCTGTCTCAAAGGAAAAACAAAAGGGCTGAAGATATAGCTCAGCACTCCCTGGGTTTAATCCTCAGTATTGCAAGAAATAAAAAAATAAAAAAGAATGAGCTGGGCCTTGTGGCACAGGTCTATAATACCAGCCCTGTGGGAAGCTGGGGGCAGGAGAGTTGCAAGTTTCAGCTGAGCCTGAGCAGCTTAGTTAGACCATGTCTATTTTTCTTCCTTTCAGTACTAGGAATCGAACTCAGGACCGTGGGCTTGCCATGCAGGTGCAGCGTTAGACCATGTCTTAAAAAAAAAAAAAATTAATGAAGGGCTGGAGATGTAGCTCAGTGTGAGGACCCTCCTTTCAAAAAGAGTTCTAGACCCATTCCTTGTTTAATTCACTTGTTTGCAAGCTTATCTGGTAAAGAAAGCACAGTGAATGTTTCAAGTTACGGAAAAAAGTCTTTTCCAAATAGTGAAATAGTCTGTAAGCTTAAGCTGCAAATCCAGTAGGAATGAACCAAATTTGTAAACTCTGTGGTCAGCTTGGAAGCAGGAAAGTGAGTGTTGTTGCTGAACAGGGCACACGTGGGCAGGAGGGTCCTAGCTAAGGAGAATGGCCTCTGGGTCATGGACTGTGTCTGAGAAAGGGAGGTAGGGGTCATGCTTTCTTAAAGAGAATGGCTTCAGGTAATTATTAAATACAAAACCGAATAACTCACCAACAAAAAACACAGGAGAAAAAACCACATACACACACACATATATGAGTGGAAAAAAAGAAGAAAAGTAGTCTTACAGTAGAGTGGGGAGGTCTTGTCCTATGGTTATGAGCTTGAGTCTGGGGCTAGACCAGTGAGATTTAACTGGCTCCCCTCCTTTCTAGCTATGAAATCATAGGAGATCTTTAGCTTGGCGCCTGGCTCTGAGTATGCTTGGTAGAGGTTAGCTGCCATTGCTGGCATTATACTCACCTAAAGGTAATTGCATTCAAGATTTAGTAGAAATGACAATCAAAATCTTATTTCCCTTAGAACATTAAGCAGCTCAGGACAGCAGACCTCAAGGAGATAGGCTGATCAAGCAGGAGCTGTAAGCAAGGAGTATGAAACCATCATGGGTGAAGAAAGGGGAGGTTTGTGTCAGCAGCTCATCAGTGGGTGAGGGGACAGGATTTCCAGGGTGGCAGGGTCAACAGTGTCTATAGAAGTCCAGGCCATGTGGGGTAGGGAAGCAGCCCATGAAGAGTGAGTTTTAAGACTAGCGCTGAGGTGTCCCAGCTGATGAATGGGAAACTTATGTGGGTGTTGGAAGAGACGTCTATTAATTCTATTTGGGTGTCATAGACACACATATTGGCAAGTCACAGAGTTTGGCAGCGTTTGGAGGTGTGCCCTGAGCCATGGGGTTGACGTGGACTCAGCACACCTCAGTCAGAGCCACCACCAGATGTTTTCTGTTCTTTTGCTTCCATTGTTGGGATGAGTCCTGGGGGACTCATCTTGGTCACAGTTGTGTCAGAGCTGTCTTGCTTTCTGAAAACCCCTAGTCTCATCCTGAGATGTTCACAAGCCCATTGTGGGTTTACTAAAGTCCTGCCAGCACACGCCTCCATGGGGCTCTTCTCTTTGTTCGGTATTGTGCACAGCTTTCTGTGATGCCTACTTGACTACTTGATACCACTCTACCATGGTGGTGAGGGTTTATGTTTGAGTGTCTGAAGCTTAACAGATGTCATTCTAATCCCCAAGTTCTCTATGGAGTCTGCACTTGACTGTTGAAGCTAGATAGTCATCCTTGTCCTATTCTTGCTCCTGAGATGTTCCTCCGTCATGGCTGCACGACAGTCTTATGTTTTCCTCTCACACTGTGCAGGGAATGATGGGAAAGGAGAACCTGTGTTCACAGGGGAGGTAGATTGCACCTACTTCTTCACGTGGGACACAAAGTACGCCTGTGTCAAAGAGAAGGAAGACCTCCTCTGTGGTGCCAGCGATGGGAAGAAGCGCTACGACCTGTCCACCCTGGCTCGCCACTCAGGTAGCCTGCTGACCTCAGCCTTGTGTTCTAGGGACAGTTGTCCCTGAATACTGTTAACTGTATTCTAATTGCCAACTAATTGTGTTGTGGCCCTTTTTCCCTCCTTGTGTATAAGCATAAATTATAAGGAGCATTGAATTGGGAGGTGAAATACCTACATTTGAGACCAGCATTATCATCTTCTAGCTGTGTTGCCTTGGGCTCATCTTACCAGAGTTTAATGAGAACTGTCTGATGCCTAGTACGTGTCAGACTTTGTGCTCTGTTTAGAAATATAAAAAAAGGTTTTTTTACTTGATTATTCCTGTGGGCACTGTTCTCCTTCAGCCAAGGGCTGGGGAGGCTGGTAGGGCTGAGCCTCAAATCATATCTGTCTTTTTTTTTTTTTTTTTTTTTGAGATAGGGTCTCCTGGGCAGTTCAGGCTGTCCTTGAACTAGTAATGTAGTCTAGTCTGGCCTTGAACTCACAGTGATCCTCCTGCCTCAGCATCCCAAGTGCTGGGATTACAGGTAGTGCCTCATTGGTGTTACCCTTTTAGCAGCTCTGTGTTAGGTATGTAGAATCCAGTTGTATCTGTAAGGTGGAGATCACATCTAAGTCAGAGAAGATGAGTCACATAATTAGCAGTTGTGACATGACTATTCCTCGTGTCCTCTGGTTCCTTGTTGCGGAACATACCATGTTAGGGGAATTGCTCTTATGTTGCTGGTTCCAGAGCTTTCCTAGGACACAGACACAGGCACTCCTCTGTAGCTGCTCTGTGTGGGCAAAGTGCTTCAGTAAACGATCCTTGGGCTTCAGTAGTTGAACCCTTGGAGCCATGGTTAAACTCATCCATGTGTGCTGAAGAGGAGATTGATTTCCTCCATAGCGGCACATGCTCTGGTCTCCAGATCAGAGACCTTGTGGGGAATTTCTGTTGCTGTGTCCAGTGCTGGCTTGAGCTGGTTCTCCAGGCTGAGTTCCTTATAGGAAACTGAGGGGTGGCAGTCAGCCCCTCTACTCTCCCAAGCATCATTGTGTACAAGACACAGCCCAGGATCTGTGAAGGATGCAGATACATTTATCTGCTCCATGGACTTCCCAGGACAGCTCTGGTTCTTGAGGATTTTGGAGGATTTTTGTAGCATTGTCACTTGGCCCAAAGGAAGTTGTGAGATGAGAACCAAAACCTTTCTCTGCTGCTTGGGAAAGTCCCCATTGCAGTCACATGATTGGTGCTTGGGTGAGGCCCCCGTGCACACGCATCATCCCGCATGGTTTCTGTAGGTTGTGGGCACAGGAATGCTGTTCTTCCAATGCACTGTGTTGTCACTGACCAGCCATGGGCCTTTTGCCTTCCAAACCCTATTTGCAAAAGGACCATTTTACACAAGAATGTGCTTTTGTGACTCTGTGCTCTTCTTCATACAAAGTTCCAGTTTGTCTCTGATACCTGCTTATGGGATGGTCTGGCTTATCACAGCTGCCCCTTGTTCCTTTCTTTTGTGTCCTTTTTAAAAAAATTATTAATTTGAGACTCTTCTAACATACTTAACAGGGTATTATTTTTCCACATTTATAAGTTTTGTAGGCAAAAAAACTATGTTGATGTGTCCTTGACACTCATTGTGTGTCCTCACTGCCTTCTGTTCATTATTGATGGGCTTCTGCTCACTCTAGTGGATGTGAGCCTTTGGATGCAGTCACCATACACATCTGCTTACTTCTGGTGGCAGCAGGCCTTCTGTCCTCTCCTTGGTCTTCATGCATGAAAGAGGCTGTAGATGCCCCCCTGCACCCCAAACTGGGAATTGAACCCATGGCCTATGCATTGAACTATATACTCCCTGCCCTTTTAAAATTTTGAAACATGGTTTTGCTGAACTGCTAAGTTTCCCAGGCTGGGTACAAACTTGTGATCCACCTCCTTCAGTTTCCCAGAGGCAGGGATTATAGACATGCTACAGTCACCCAGCTTTGGTAGCTTTCTTTAGTGACACAGATTTTCGTGGGGTCCAGAGCTGGGTGTGTCATCAGTGGCATGCCATTCTGCAGGCCTAGCATGCCAGCAGGCTTCTGATTCAGGCCTCAGTCTCTGATTTCTTTCTGCACTAATTCTCTGACCCCTGGTAAGCCTGTTTGTTCTTCTGAAGACACATCGGGATGGCTTATTATCTGTCACATTCTGTGAGTTTCTGCGCCAGCAGCCTTCCTGGGTTCTGGAAATGGGAATGCGGATGTTCTTGTCCAAGTGCTTAGTAAGCTGTGGGCTCTTGACCTTTGGCTTAGTCACCGTTTGTGGTATGACCCCCAGGGAATGAGTTTATTGCCTTTGTCTGAAGAACCTTTTTTCTGATTACAGAATCTGAACAGAATTGGGAAGCAGTAGATGGCAGCCAGACAGCAGCAGAAAAGAAGCATTTCTTCATTAATGTCTGTCACAGGGTGCTGCGGGAGGGCAAGGCCATAAGCTGTCCCGAAGACGCTGCTGTGTGTGCTGTGGGTGAGTAGTACAGTCGGGAAGATTGGGGTGAGCAGAACCCAGCTGCTTCCTGTGTGGAGTGACAGAAAATCCTCTTGTGGTTCATCTAAGCCTCCTCTTTCTGGGTGTCACATATGAAGATGGTAAAGAAATAGTTCTAATGACATAAATGTTGGTACTCTGAAATCCTGAGGTTGGCTCAAGCTACCTGAGGCTGGTTGAAGCCTTATCTGGGAACATGATCACGCTATCACACTGAAAAATACGTGGACAACCCCCCCCCCCCCCCATTGTCCAGGATGGCTTTGAACTTGCTGCATAGTTCAGGCTGGCCTTGAACTTACCAGCCTCCAGAGTTTGGGATTATAGGTGTGGCCACTGTGCCCAGCAGCCATCTTTTTTTATGTGACTTGAATAACATTGACATTACTTGTGTTAAACACAAACTTGTGTTTGTGATTTTTTTAAAAATAGTTTTACTGCCTAAATATGTTCAAAACCCTTATGGCTTAAGGGAAGTGGGATCTTGGAATTTTTGGTGTGCTATATCCTCAGGTTCCTTCTGCTGTCATTGTTTTGGTCTGTGGCTATCATGAGGAGACTTCTCATTCTGACGGAGAGGTTCAGCATGTTATAATTTAGAGTGCATCTTGATAACACCAGGCTACAAGAGCAATGCAGATCTGTTCTTTTCTTTTTTCTTTTTTTTTTTTTTTGGTACCAGGGCTTGAACTCAGGTTTTTGCGCTTGCGAGGCAGGCGGCAGAACCACTGAGCTAAATCCCCGGCCCGATGCAGATCTGTTCTAAACATTCCATAAGGAGCTGTGAGTCTGTATTCAGAGTCAGTGATGTATTTTTGAAAGCAGATTTCCATGTCTTAGGAAAGGTTTAGGGACAGTTTTAAAACTTCATAGTCAAAGGGCACATGAACCATCAACTCAGTGGCCACCTACTTGAGTGCTGGACAGGTTTAATGTGTTTTTGCCTAGTCATGGACACACCCTAACTGCTTGGTTGTGCTCTCAGAAGCCCTTGTGTCCCAGGGTAGCTGAGGCCTGGAAACAGAGATAGTGTTATTTACAAGTGGTGATGACCTGTGTGCTACCATTCTGTTCTTGTGCTTGTGGAAGACACTCATTCACGACACTTTCCTGCTAGCCCTGGAGATAGCCTTGGAGTCCTCATTGTGACCGTTACCTTCCACATTTATCACCCAAGAAAATCTCATTCCCATCTGTGCCAGGTTAGGTGGTTGGAGAAGGCAGTGCTGTACCTGCAGGGCCTCAGCTGAATGTTAACATCGTTTCTTTCTTTCTCTCCCCTATCCCTTTTGATAGGGCTGAGAATCAAACTTAGGGCCTCCTGCATGTTAAGCAAGCACTCTACCTCTGAGCTATACCTCCAGCCTAGCATCACAGTCATTTCTCACTCATTTCTCTTCTCTTCTCCTTTTTCTTTCTCTTTCCAGATAAGACGGGAAGTAAAAGCCTGGGAAAATTTATCTCTTCTCCCACAAAAGAGAAAGGAAACATTCAACTCTCCTACTCAGATGGTGATAATTGTGGTGATGACAAGAAAATAACAACTACTATCACTCTCATATGCAAGCCAGGTAAATATTTAATTTTTTTTTTTTGGTACCAGGGATCAAACTCAGGACCTTGCACTTGTGAAGCAGGCGACGGAACCAGTGAGCTAAATCCCCGCCCCCCCTCCCTTTTTTTTTGAGGCAGGGTCTCACTCTGTAGTTCAGGTTGGCCTTGAACTCACTATGTAGCCCATGCTGGCCTCAAACTCATGGCAGTGTTCCTGCTTCAGCCTCCTGAGTGCTGGAATTACAGGTGTTTGCTACCATGCTTAGCTAATCTTTAACAAGTTTTTTGTAAGTACGTGTTTGCAGTTCATAATGATTTCAAGTAAACATTTAAAAAAAAAAGGAATGTTTTAGTGGCATTTGCCAGAGGTGCATTGGCATTTCTCATTTCTCTTCCTTATCCTGTGTGGATGGGGTTGGGTAGAGAGGTGTGATGCTGAGCCCTCATAGTGCTATAGTCTCTGATGGGAGGCAGTCAGTTGGATTTCTACCGAGAAACGCAGAAGCCATGTGGTGTCAGTAGGCAGTTGTGTTATTCTTTTCCAAATGAATTGTGAATCTCCACATGGTGTCCTGTTGGACTGATGATACAGGGTCAATGATGTGGGTGCTGAGCTTCCTCTAAAGGGGAAAAACCATAAATGATTTAAAAATGTTACCCATGATCTCCCCATTTAAACACAGCATTCATTTTAACTTGCCTACTGAGTCAAGATCTTCATATATTCATACATTCTAACGTTCCTCCAAATAGTGTATTTTGTGAACACTGTTGTGGCTGTATAGTTCTATTTACAAGTTCTAGTGATTTCTTTGTTGACCTAGTATGGTTTTACTATTAAGCTTTCTCCCTGTTGCTGGATTAATAGCACATTTCTAGTGTTAGAAATTGTGAGGTACGTATCCACCCTACACCTCCCACTGAAATCTTTCATTTGGATATATTCCCCACTGTGGGAGAAAGTCAAAGACTAGAACTATTCTTTTCTTATTTTATTGTGGTAAAATATACATAACATAAAATTCATTATTTTAGTCATTTTTAAAAATTGTGGCAAAATATAAACAACCTCAAATTTGCCATGTTAACCATTTACAAGTATGCAGTTCAGTATCATTAAGCACAGTCACCTTGTTCCCACCCGGCACCTCTGTGTATTGCTAGAACTTTTCCATTGTCCCAAACTGAGACTTGGTACCATTGAACTATAGCTCTCCATCCTTGGGCTCCAGCCTCTGGCAGCCACTGCTCCACTTTGTCTATCTGGGTTTGACCAATCTAGATAGCCTATGTGAATCAAATCATACAGTATTTTAGGACCGATTTTTAACCTTGAATGTGCTATACCTCATTTCCTGTAGTCCCTTCCAAGTCTGTTTTGAACAGAACAAGAAGGGATTGATCAGTGATTGATTTTTTCCACCTTGCCAGGTGACCTAGAAAGTGCTCCAATGTTGAGGACTTCTGGGGACAGTGGCTGCTTCTATGAGTTTGAGTGGCACACAGCTGCTGCCTGCGTGCTGTCGAAGACTGAAGGAGACAACTGCACGGTCTTTGATTCCCAGGCAGGTGTGTATCTGAACGGTGCCTCTGTTGTTCACTGTGATGTCAAACCTCTTAAGCCTTTTCCCTAAACATTGTGTCTTGGAGGTAAGCTGCTTTCAGATTTCATTAATGCCATATGACTAAAATTCTTGTTTTTTTCCCCAGAAATTCTTAATATCTGATGTTTGGGGCTTGAGCTATTATACCTTCTTCATTTCATGCTGGGGTTGGGTTTGGTTGATGTAGCACTTGGGGACGCAAGTTTGCAAGGCTTTTCACATGGGTCCTAGCCGTCTTGGGAGATGTTCCAGGAAGGCCTCTGGACCATGTTCATCCTGCCTGGACGTACTGGTAGTTTGTCAGTTACAGGCTCTGAATAGGGCTGTATGTGAGTGCAGTAAAAAGGGATGGGATGGTAGTATTCCAAGGAAAACAGTGGTAATTGCAGGGCTGGTAGCCTGAGGGGCAAGGGTTTCCTCTGCCCTTCGCGCTTCTTCCAGTCCCCTGAGAAGTTGCTCCTTGACACTGTGGGGTGAAGTTGCCCTGTTGACTGTGTTCTGACTGACCTTACATACTTTCATGTTTTTATTCTTTCTTAGGATTTTCTTTTGATTTGTCACCTCTCACAAAGAAAAATGGTGCCTATAAAGTTGAGACAGAGAAGTATGAATTTTACATAAATGTTTGTGGCTCAGTGTCTGTGCACACCTGTCCTCTAGACTCTGGGGCCTGCCAGATTTCAAAAAGGTAAGTGACTGCCCATTCTGGGTTTATTCTGTGACTTTTTTTTGGTGGTACTGGAGATCAAACTCAGGACCTTGTGCTTGCCAGCAGGTGAGGCACCACTGAGCTACATCCCCAGCCCTATTCTGTGACTTTTTGTTCAGGAATAGGCAGGTTCTCATTATTGCTTTACAACAGAAAACTTGGCCTAAAAATTACAGATGCCAGGAGCCTTACCTCTCCAGAAAAAGAGCAAACCATGTCCCAGGGAAAGAGGAGCAGGCTTACATAATGTCCTACTTCATGTATTTTGTGCTTTTTCAGTATATCTCTATTCTGTGCAGTATCAGTTAAAAAGAAGTGAGTTGTGTATGCCTTAAGCCAGCCGTGCTGAGTGTCAATTTGGGTCCTGGTGGGGTAGAGAGGAAGCCTTCCCCTGCAGTTATAAGTCTACATATGGGGATCCCATGGACTGTGGCCCTGGGTCCTAGTCATGGGCATGCCTCCACGTTGCTCATTGGCCCTTCTGTAGACACCCAGCCTGGAATCCTTCTGGTCATGACAGCTTTTCTGAGAGACATTCATATGTTTATTTCAGTAATAAGAAGTATTGGAACTTGGGACTGAGTAATGGTAAACTTTCATATTATGATGGGATGATACAGCTGAGCTACAAGGATGGTACACCCTATAATAATGAAAAGCACACACTGAGATCCACACTGATCACTTTCCTCTGTGATCGAGATGCTGGAGTAGGTCTGCCTGAGTACCAGGTAGGAATTGTCCATGTGGTTTTCTCTGGGGATACCTTAGCCTGCTGTAGACTTTTTATTTAGAAGCAGAACTGTTATTAGTCTGGTTTCCTGGCCAAATCACCTCCTTAATTATTCCTTGTAGGTTGGCAAGGATGTGTAGGCAATATTTATTCACTTGTTACATTCTGTATTCAATGACCCAAGCACCTCAGTGGTGGTCTTACAACCCTGTTGATTTTGAGTACAAATCATTGAAAAGCATCAGAAATCACGCCTTATCTTCACTTAACCAAGGCCAAATCTCTATATTAATTTTTGACTTTTAATAAGAATATTCTTTTAATAAAATTGAAGGAGGTAGACAAAGTAAACTTTCCTTCATACACTTTCCTTATCAAATGATGCCCTTGTTCTTTTGTGAATACTGTCTTTGCAGAATGTTTCCTTTTTCTCTTAGCTTTTTGTAACTATAACAAATGCATGAGATAATCACCTTCAAAAAGGTGTATTTTGGCTCACAGTGTTGGGAGGTTTCAGCCCCTCATTGGTTGGCTCCATTGTTTTGGGCCTGTGGTGAGTCAGCACATCAGGGTGGGAGTATGCAGTGGAGCAAAACCTCATGGCCAGGAAGCAAAAGAGAAGAGTGAAGAAGGGTTCAGCATTCCACAGTCCCCTTTGAGGGCATATCCCAGTGACTTAAAAACCTACCTCTGTCCTACGTCTTCAAGATTCCACCATCCCTCAGTGACAGCATGGTGGGGACTGAGCTTTTAACCATGTGTCATTGGGTGACATTCCAGGTCCAAACCATAGCACCATCCATCCTTGTTTCTTTCTTGGTCATTTCCATGTCATTAGGAAGAGGACAACTCTACCTACAACTTCCGGTGGTATACTAGTTACGCCTGCCCGGAGGAGCCCCTGGAGTGTGTGGTGACTGACCCGTCCACACTGGAGCAGTATGACCTCTCCAGGTGAGCAGGATCAGCCAGCATAGTCCTTCATCCTGTATAGTTGCCAAGGTCATTAGGTAGTACTTGTGAATGCATGACAGAGCTGTTAAAGGTCATGTTGGTGCTGGTTGTGTGGGACCATGATGGGGAGATTGAAGCAGAAGAATTTATAGGTCTGGTCGGCCCTTGGTAGTACCTGTTCTTTTTTTCTTTATCGATATATTTTAGAAACACATAATGATCACATTCGTCATAGGGGATTTGTACCTGTGCATGATATATCTTGCTGCTTCTTTTTTCCCACTCCCCTACCCTCCCTTCAACCTCTTCCCCTCCTTATTAACACCTGTTCTTTTTTTTTTTTGAAACAGGGTTTTGCCATGTAGTTCAGGCTGGCCTTGAACTCTCTGTGTAGTTTAGGCTGGCTTCAAACTTCATGGCGATCCTCCTGTCTCACCCTCCCAAGTACTGGGATTATAGGTGTGCACCACCATGCCCGGCTTAACACCTCTTCTTTGCCACATGAGCCCTCAGTCTATAGCTTCATTATTGAGGGCATTGACTGTCAGTGCAGGGAGTTGGCACATATTGAAGGTCTGCTTCGTGTGGAGCTTTGTAAAGGTCACATGTGATCATATTGTATCCTGAGTCACAGGGAGCCCATTTTTGTGGTTCAGTGGGAGACATTTCATTTGATAGTTCTTTATTTCTCTGACTCCTTAGAAATAAATTGCCTGCCTGAGATGTCTAACCTCTTTAAAAGTATACATTTTGCTTTGAAATTTTAGTCTGGCAAAGTCTGAAGGTGGTCGTGGAGGAAACTGGTATGCTATGGACAACTCAGGAGAGCATATCACTTGGAAAAAATACTATATAAACGTGTGCCGGCCCCTGAATCCTATGCCTGGCTGTGATCGATATGCATCAGCTTGCCAGATGAAATATGAAAACGATCAGGTGCGTCTGTCTTCCTTGGGTGTCTCATTCAGCCTAAGTGCATGGCTCAGTGGGTGGAGGTGTTTGTGTTAGATCTTCAGATCAAAGTAGGCCTGGCTGCTCCACTGAAGCCCTCTGAGTAGAAACAGGCCTCCGAGTAAACTAGCCTGCCTCCCAAACAAATGTGCCTCACACTGGAGTCTTTGTTCAGATTTAAAACTTAAAGAAAACACCATTCTCTTGGCTTCTTTTGATCAAGTAAAGGGCAAAGGATACCCCTCATGGTTATGTCTAGCCTGAATTCAAGAGTCTTTGACTCAACAGATGTTTGTAAAAAAGATCTTTAACTCCCAGTCTTGTAATTTCAGTAGTCTGGGAGCGTGAGACAGGAGGAATTCCGGTTCAAGGCCAGCCTGGGCAACTTAGAGACTTAATTAATGAGATCCTTCTCAAAATAAAAAAAGGGCTCAGAGTGAAGAAGTTTGCTTTCAAGAGCTTTTCTGGATTACTTAGTGGGGAAAATTGGTTTGGGAGAGTTGCTATGGATGAACTAGAGCCAAGTGTTAGCACTTCTTTGGGGTGCTAAGCAGTGTTTGGTCTTCTTATTGAATGGGCCAGAACTTTTGTGTGTTTCCTTGTTGTATTGTAAAAGGTGAATCTTAAAGATATAGATGGATTCCGGAAGTTGCCTTCTATAAAAAATAATGTCCCAGGAATGTACTTTTCGTGCCATGTGTGACTGGTGTGCTCTGGTGCTTAAGAACTTAGTTCTCTGGGGGTGGGGATATAATATTGCTCAGTGGTAGAGCACGTACCTTGAGTGAACAAGCCTGGGTTCAATCTGTAGCACCAAAACAAAAAAAAAAGAATTGAGTTCTCAGTTTTGTGTATTTGAGCACATGTATAATTTCTTTATTTAGAGTAATAGCCGCATAGTATAGCCAGTCCTCAATATTCATGGAGTCTCCATTTGTGAATTTGTCTCCTCATTAACCTTTGTAACCCCCAAATCAATGTACAGAGCACTTAGTGACTCTTGGACATTCATGGTAGTCCAGGCGTGTTTCTCCCTGAGGTTGACTACCATGATGCTCTGCCCTTGTGCTGAGGTGTTCAGAGGATGGAGGGATGGGGGAGGCTAGGCCAGAAGCTCTGGTTTGGGGCCAGTTTGGATGGAGCTTTGAGTCCTGCATCTGCACGTAGTACTTCTGAGCCACATTTTTCTTTTTTGTAAAATAAAATAGAATCTGTCAGCATGAGTTGTTTTAGGATTTAGGATTATAATCAATGTGAGATAGTGATGCAATTGAAAAATGCAGTGAATGTTGGAATTTTAAAAAATTTATTACAGTAAAAGATACATTGCTGTTAATCCTCCTCAGAATACCACCTCCACCCCATTACTCTGAACACACCTACCCCATCGTTCTTAATACTTTCTGAAGCTGTTCTGGAAGTCTTTTGTGTATGTCTTATTTGCGTTGTCATGGCTGCCTCATTGTCCTGAATTAGTTCAAAATGTTGACCTTTCATGGTCATTTTGACAATGAGGAAGAGCCAGAAGTTGCATGGTGTCAGATCCAATGAACAAGGTGGACGAGAACACACCGTAATGTTTTTATGAGCCTCTCTTTCCATTGGATGGCACTCGGTAGCAGCATTCACTGTAGTTTTGCTCATACCTTGTAAAGACATGAAAGAACACTTCTAGAGTTGCTTCAGAAAGTGGCAAGAATGATGGGATAAGTATGTTTGAAGCAAGGGGGAGTATTTTTAGGGAGACTAGTGGCAGCGTGTCTTTTATTGTAATAAATGCTTTAAACATTCACCATACATGTTGATCACTCTTTGTATGTGGGTGTGTAATATAGCTCCCTTGGGACCAGTGGTTCACTATTCATTATGTGTTGTTCATGGGGACCTTATGGGATGTAACTTCCATGAGTATTGAACCCTCTCCTTCAATACTGCACCAACTGCATTGAGTGCTAATGGATGCTAACAGATGTTCGTGTTGCAGGGCACCTTCACCGAGACTGTCGCCATCAGCAGCCTGGGAGTGGCCAAGACTGGCCCAGTGGTGGAGGAGAGTGGCAGCCTCCTGCTGGAGTATGTGAACGGCTCAGCCTGCACCACCAGCGACGGCCGGCTCACCACCTACAGCACGAGACTCCATCTTGTTTGCTCCCGGGGGAGCATGGTAAGGCACTGCCTGGGATAGCAGGCTCTCTGCAGAAAAATGCTTTGCAGTTATTGTGGTAAAATGCACGACATAAAATTGACCATTTTAGCTGTGGGGTTATTAAGAACATTAAGCATGTTTTTTGTGTCCATTACGTCTCCATGTCCGGAACTTTAAAAAATCATCACAGACCCAGTTGATTTTTTTACCAGGAATTTCAGAGTTATACAGTACTAGGCTCATGTGTTGAATAATTTCTAGGTAGGCAGGCAAATCCCTAGTGGGGAATACTGGAAGTCATGTTCATTATGAATTAAGTTACGGTCTGCTTATTAAGGGTCAGTTATAGGTCCCTCTAGCCAGCCACTCCTACTTTGCACCTATGTGGTGGGTGCTGATTCACACATGTCCAGGTACCCCACGGTCCTCTTTGTCCCTTGCTGCGATCCACGGAGAGGATTGAGAGACTGGTGGCCGAGCATGGGCCTGCTTTTCAGTAGGACATGGTCATCTTTGAGATTATAGACTCACTCTCCTCTGTCCACCCTGGGCCTGGGCTGCCTGTTTCTTCTCTCTGACTATAGGAGTTGGCCCTCACTTCCCAGTGCCACCTGGCTGGCTCTGCATCCTGGGCAGGTTATGCATCCCCTTCTAGGAACCCTGGTATGGACTCCCCTCTGATTTTTCATTGCCATTGCAATGCTTCGTCCTTCCCAAAAGTTCTCTTGGATTCTGCTTTTCCCTGCATTTCTGTGATACTTTAGTCTTCAGAATGATTTCACATCGCCAAGATTTCAGCACACACACATCCTGCTGCTCCCTGTGCCCAGGTGCTGCTCAAGAGCAAATCAAGATCGTGCTCACTGTGCTGCACACTCTAGACTAAGGGTTCCATAGCCCAGGGCTCAGTTACTTCTTGAGACCAATAGTAAGGCTGAGGGGGCAGATGCTTCTGTTTTGCTCCTAGGGCTGCTGAGGCTGAGTTGGAGCCTGCAGTCAGAGAGCCTGGGTAGGTGAGATTGCCCTATGCTGGCCCCAGTTTTCTCCCCTGTAGCTCATTGATGCCTCCAGCCCCTGGCTGTGGGCCCTTTGTGGCAAGGCTCAGTGGGGAAGGGCAGCAGAGCTCTCAGCGTAGCTCCTGGTGTGTGGGCCACCCATTAATGTACCGCTAATGTGCCAGTCCTCAGGACCAAGGTGAAGGTGACACTTTCCCAGAAAGGGAGCATAGCACTTTTAGGGGAAACGTTTTACTAGGACACACAAATTATAAGTTAGTAACAGTTCTGTTCACAAATTGGCTACATCCCTATAATTAGAACCCATGTCAAGGAATAGAATGTTTGTTCCACCCAGAAACCCTTCTCACCTCTCTGTCCATCAGCCCCTCTGCTGACCTCTGACATGTAGGTCAGTTTGGCCTAATTCTGAGCTTGCATCCACAAAACCATGGGTACTGCAGTCTTTTGTGTTTGGCTTTTCTTTTTTTTGTTTTGTTTTGCTTTTTTTTGTTTGTTTTTTGAGACAGGTTGTCACTATTTAGTTCAGACTGGCCTTGAACTCACTATGTAGCCAAGGCTGATCTCGAACTCACAGTGATCCTTCTGCCTCACCCCTCAGAGTGCTGGCATCATAGGTGTGCGCCACCATGCCTGATTTGTTTTGCCTTTTTTTGGTTTGTTTGTTTTGCTTTTTTGAGGCAGGGTCTCACTATGTAGTTTAGGCTGGCCTTGAACTCATGATGATCTGCCCGCTTTAGCCTTCCAAGCGCTGAGATTACAGGTGTGCGCCACCATACCTGTCTGTGTTTGGCTTTTTTAGTTCAATTTTTGCTGTAAAGTGCTTTTGAAAAGTACCAGCTTGGACTCTCAAAGTGAGGTTGGGATCCTAATTCTCCCCTGAACTGCTGACATGATCTCAAATTTCTTAACATCCAAGAATGAGAGTTGATCTTTCTTTTATAGGGTTAATGAAAACATTACATTGTAATTAGCTAATGCCTGTTGAATGGTGATGCATAATAAACACTGAGTGGCTTTTAGCCACTTTTGTCTAAGGGGTTGCACCCTCTTTACCAGATCACTATTCTCTTACTCTTAACCCTGTGCTTGACCTTTCAGAACACCCACCCCATATTTTCTCTCAACTGGGACTGTGTGGTCAGTTTCCTGTGGAACACAGAGGCTGCCTGCCCCATCCAGACAATGACAGACACGGACCAGGTATGTGTGCTCTCTCCTGCCCTCTGGCTGAGCTTCCTGCTGGACATCTCCAGCTGGTGTCTGGCTCTGAACTGCCCCCAGCCCTGGTGTTTGAAGGTGTCATCATCCCTCTGTGTTGATAACAGGCGCCTGAGGTCATGTATTCCTCTGCTCCCGTTCAACACCAAGGTCCCAGGATCAGAATCAGGACCCTCAGTTTTACTCCCCACTCAATGTAGATTCCTTCTCTTCTCTACTCTCCAGTCCGGCCCTTCCATGTGGCAGTGGCTCTGCTCTCCTCCATCACTGCTGCCATAAAACATTGGGGAATCAGTCACCGAAAGGGCAGAGCCCATGTGCTCCATGTGACCTTACCTATAGGATGGAGCCGGTAACTCATGGGCTACTGAAGGCCCTCACCCTCTGCTTCCAGCCACCTCTTCCAGCTTCTCTTCTCCTTCTGAGGTGACAGGAGTGGCGCCTGGTCTGGTCTGGATGGTTTAGCCTTGGCCCGGTTCCTCCTGGCCACACAGTGTCCTGCAGAGTATAGCATAAGCTGCGCTGAGGCATTTCCTGCCTCTGCAAAGCAAGGAATTGTTTTCATGGTACTGCATGTGTTTCTTTATGTTTCCCTCCCTGCCTTCTTGATGTCTCCACTGCACTGCAGAGTGTGCAGCAGATGAACTGTAGCTTATCCATAGCCACGACCCAGCTCAGGTTGTTCTTAGTGAGGGTGGGAACCATGGGGTGCCAGGGCCCCATCCACAGTCTGTGCTTGTGGAGCTGTGACCGCTGCCCCATCCCCTGCATTTGGTGGGCACAGGAGGCCCAGGGCAAAGTTAATTATACCCAAAAGAGGACAGTACCTATATGTGAATAATTGAGATAAAAAGCAGAGCGTGAGATTTCTTAACGTGTTTGGGCTTTTTAGGAAATTATTTATGGGTTTCTTATGGTTCCTACTGCTTTCACCTTAGGGAGCTCAAGAGCTTGCAGGTGAATACAACATTTAGTACAGGCAAGGAACTGTTTGGATAGGCTGCCTTTTTGATAGGGATTTTTCTTTATGGTTTATGATACTGGGGATTGAGTCCAGGGGCTCATGCATGCCAGATAAATGTTCTGGCATGGAGCTGCATCCCTAGCCTTTTAAAAAAGTTGTTTATTTTTGCTGGGCCTGGTGGTTACATACCTATAATCTCAGCACTCTGGGTGGCTGAGGCAAGAGGAATTCAAGTTCTCGCCCAGCCTAGGCAACTTAGTGACTTTGAGAGACCCTGTCTCAAAATACAAAATAAAGGGTCTTGAGATGTAGCTCAGTGTGAAAGCCCTGGGTTCAGTCCCCAGTACAGTACCACCCCAAAACAAAAAAAAACCATGGGGGCGAGGGAAGAGAGAGAGAGGAGTGTATATTGATTTTGAGAAAGGGTCTTGCTAAGTTGACCGAGCTGCCTTCTATTTAACTTGCAATCCTCCTGCCTTGGCCTCCTGAATAGCTGGGATTATGAATGTGGACCACCACACGTGACCCTTGATAAGGATTTTTAAAGTAAATGGGAAGGCCAGCCCTGTAAATTATAAATATGGAGGCTTCTGGAGGTGGCTCCTGTAGGATTAGATTGACTGTGTTCTTTCTCCCTTTTGATTCCTGTAGGCCTGCTCTATAAGGGACCCCAACAGTGGATTTGTGTTTAATCTTAGCCCACTCAACAGTTCACAAGGATATGTGGTCTCAGGCATTGGGAAGACATTTGTGGTAAGAGCCATGTGATGAATTTCCGGTTTGCTTTGAATTATAGAGACAGTTCATTAAAGTTACCCACAGTCTCCAAGGACAACACTTTCTATATGTAGTCCTGAACTCTGTATTCCTTGCCAGTTAATAACAGATAATGCTAGAAACTGCCTGGGATTTAGCTCAGTGGTGCCACTGCCTGCCTCGCAAGCACAAGGTCCCGAGTTCGATCCCCGGTACAAAAACAAAAACAGATACTGCTATTTTTCCTTTATCTTCATTCCAAAGAATGTATTCTGCTTTGTCTTCAAAACTATAGTAAACTGGATTTTAATGAAATAACATCGTTAGGAAATAAATTTCTCTTTTTTATAAATTAAAAAAATGTAGGTCATTACTTTACATTTGCTTATGATGAACATGATTCAAACGATATAATTTTATAAAAATCTTGTAGTTATGACTTATGTACCTTCCCTTTATTATACATGTTGTTTTATTACATGCAAGATAATCTTACACATTTATAGATAACAGGGCTATATAAATAAAATCATGTGTACTAAACCTTAGAGCAAATTTATGGATATTGCTATTTAGACTTTGTTTTTTTTATTAAGTTTATTGGTACATTTTAGGTATACATTATGATCACATTAATCATTGGTAATTTGTACCTTTACATGATACATCTTGGTTCTTATTTTTTTCCCCTTCCCCTTCCCTCTCTTCTGCCCTTCCACCCC